CAAATCAGACCCGCGGATATCCGCTATGACTGACCTAGCCGTGGCCGTCCAACGCGATGACATCCACGCGTACGAAGAAATCCTTCACAATAACCCGGACGTCCTTTCAGACCCCTTCATAGCCGAGAACATCGACGAAGTGAGTCGTAACATGCGCACCAAAGCCGTCCTCAAATTAATAGCCCCTTATACTCGTTTCAGCCTCGCCTTCATCTCCAAACAAATCAAGATATCCCTCCCCGAAGTCCAGGATATCCTCAGCTTCCTAATTCTTGATCAGAAGATCCCAGATGCGACAATTGATCAGGAAACTGGCGCCGTCGTCATCAATAGGGCTGACGACCATGAACGACTGCAAGCTCTGGGGACCTGGACGTCTCAGCTGAACTTGTTGTGGCGGAGTGTTTTGACCAATGCGGACGGGTTTAGACTCGAGGATAGTGCTCGTGTCCATGCGACTTTGGTGAATACCGACGGGGATTATGGGCAGTTGGGTCTTGCGGGAGATGTTTTGCCATCTCCAGAATTCCGAAAATTGGGTGTTGGTCGGGCAAAGCGGGATTGGAAAGGGAAGTCGGGGCTTGCAAAGGCATTCTCACGAGCTCTCTGATATTTTTTTTTTTTCACGAATGAGCTTGTTTTGGCTCTTGCTATTGCCTATCGTTTTACATGTATTTGGAATTCTCTTGCTGCACCTTGTTTTAATCGAAACATCGGGCCGCTGGCGAATTTTATAGAGTTATAGAAACGATGAGGGGCTTGTTGTTTACTCTCGACCAAGACAAATGAGAGTTTCGCAAGCCCCTTTACAACCACGGTGGAGAGGATGGTCGCCAAACCGGTAACCCTCACCCCTCTGTTCCTGACTATCCGGCGGCCAGAATAAATTTAACGACCTGGATAACAAGCTATGGTATATTAGACGAGCTACGTGGTCTTAAACAAAATGTCTTTCTCTTCATAACCCATAGCAAGCAGTTGTTTATGACCTTCCCACCAGTCTCTATCTGAATCTTAAAATCCCGTTGCTATTCCAGAGCAATGGAACCAAAACCACATACGGATTATACAGATTACCTAGCTAGAAGTTCCATTTCATCAATCCCAAATAACAAATGAGGTGCGATCCAACCATACGGCTATCTCCGTCAGAAAAATAGTTACGTGAAAGGCTAGATCTGAATTTAGATTTATTCAGACACTGTCACCCCTCGCTGTTCTCGCGGTGCCGTTCAACCAGCAAACTGCATACAAAGTATTTATGCACGTATGTACATGTACTGTACAT